ACTGAGTTTGATAATTTATCCCATTCCTTGCAACTTGTAGGGCTCACGTATTTTGGGCTTGAGTTAATAGGATATAGTCCCAAAATATAAGTGAAAGGGAGGAAGGGGGAAGAGAGGAAAGGAGGAAGGCTGGAAAGAAGGGAGGAGGGAGGAAGGGTGTAAGAAGGGAAGGATTGTAATTGAAGGAAGAATGGGAGAAAGGAACAGAGACAAGAGGGAGAAAGCGAGCAAGGTCGGATGGAGGAACCAGAAAAGAAGGAGTAAAAGAAAGGACGGGCAAAGAAACAATGCAGTAGTGTAAGAGCAGAGTGGATAGGATAAGTTAGGAAAGGGCTGAGTTGATACCATTACATTTCCACCATTCAGAAGTTGATAATGCACTGGGAAATGTGGCGTTCTACATAGAAAAGATTCTCAAAGTCACATCATTGGATAAAAGAAGTTCCATTTGCACATAGCTTGTAAGAACTTACAAAATAACTTCCTCTACCCATTTCCTTTAAATCAAGCTAAACTAGAAAAACATAATTTTCAGTGAAATTTTTCCAAGTTTGAATTCACATTCCTTCACATAATCCAAAGACACATCCCTTCCAAGCAGTTGTGCAATTCATGAAATCGCTCACTCTGTGCAAAATATGAGATAAAGATCTAACAGGGCAAGCATGTAGGAATCTCAGCTGTATTTTAAACCATACATAAAGTACCAAAAGCAGATGCTAAAACCAGAGAACCTGCAAGTGAAAGAGCTTACATCAACTCTCAGGGTCTGTTCTGTTCATCACTATGAAATACGTATGTGAATAATTGATACAGTCAACTGTTTCAAATACACACGTTCTCCTTAGTATTTTTCTACAAGCGCTGATAGTCATTTGAATCAGAGTTCTAGTTGATTGGCTAAACAATATGCATGAATATGTCAGAGTTTATCCTAGGTAGATGGAAGTGATGAAAAATATTCAGTATAATACTGTAAATACACATGCACATACACACACCCATATGCACACACTCACACAGAAAACCAGATACACAGACTCCCACAAGATCAATAGAGTCAGTGCAGATGGAAAAATAACTACAAACTTGAAAATTAAACAGAATTTATCTAAGCAGAAATAATGTAAAGAACGTGAAAAGAGGAAAAGCATATAGTACCTGGAGGGCAATATTGGATACTCTAATATAAAGAAGGAATGGAACAGGCAAAGTGTGAGTACATGATAGTCAACACTTTTAACAATGAAATTTATGAAGCCATTGGTTGAGCAGTTCAAGGGATCCCGGGAAGGACAGCTATGAAAGAGACTTGAGGCTATGCACAGAAAGAAAACACAAACATAAAACTGTAAATGAAATGGACAAGTGGTGTAAATTTTCATTTCAGTTACTTGAAAATAAAGGACTGAAGGAAAATTATACTATTGTATCATGAAAAGTCACATAAAAATAACATTTCTCAGAAAAATAACAAGGAACTGGGGAAAACTGATCAATATTATTCAAGGGGTCTTATATTGGAGGTTGGCTAATAAGGGCTGGAAATTTAGCTTAAAGCTACAGTGCTTGCCTCTTGCTTTCCATGAGCTGGGCTCGATCCCCAGCACCAAAAAAGAAAACTGATTTCATATATTATTTTAGGCGATATTAATATGTCATGTGATATTAAAATCAAAATTAATTACTGCCTGAGGAGGAACAAATATAATATAAACAATAAAAGATATCACCAAGTCCTCACAAAAAATTAAATGGCAAATAAAATATACAAATATTCTGGTTATAAATTGTATGAATAAAATTGAACTCATTTAAAGGTACGTGAGAAGAAATAGGTAATAAGAGTAATTGTCTACTTAATAAATTAATTTATGGAAAATATATGAATAAAATCTGTGTGATTTGTAAAACGGATCGTCACTGTGCTTCCTGCTGAAATGACAGAGAGCAGACAGGATGAACCCTCCTTGGTATGGGGAAGAAGGTAAGAGTAGCAACAAGAGTAAGTGATAGGAAGAGATGAACATTGAATTATTTGCCGAAAAACAACCAAGCCCAAACTATCTAAGCAACAGAGCAAGTATGAAATACTGATAAATTCAGGTGATGACAATTAATAGGGTTTTATTTTAAGTGAATGTTTTCCTGAATATTTTATTGCCCTAGGAAAACTGTTTCCTAATACAATTACCCTGACTGTCATTCTTCAGCATCTGATGGTTACTCTTCATTTTCTGCACGTTTCTATTTGCATTTTTGAAAATTTAGTGACTTGTGCAAAACACATTGTCTTCTGTTAGCAACTGTACAAAACAATGAACAGCATTCACTTTTCAATGACTTCTGCTTCAGTAAACTATAACAGCAGTATTATTGTCTATCTAGTAACTATTAGGAAGCAAAACCAGGTGTTTATGTTTTGCTATGCTACATTATTGTCTTTATAAAAATCATCTTTACATTACATAGCACATTGACCTGTAACCAAGAAAGAGGGTATGATATCTTAAAATATTTCAGAGAAATAACTTCCATTGTAAGGGGTATATAATTCTATAAGAAAAAAGTAATTGGGTAAAAGAAAATAATTTAAATTTTTCTTATGGCCAACAGGTTACATTACCCTTCTTTAATACCGTGATATGAATACTTTCTAGCCTGTGTAATAAAGAACATAAAATGGCTCTCATTTAATTAAAATTTAAGAATTTCTTCAAATATTGTCTACAAAATCATAGATTTTATTGACAGTTTTGCTAACAGAAAACTATAGTGTAAATTTTCTAACATAAATATACTTAAGAATGAATGTAAGGAAAAATAATATTTTATAAAAATAACTGAAAAGAAAAATGTCAGATAAAGATATGAAATGATTAATACTGTTATGTGATCAGCTATAACACCAATCAATACATTGAAAGTTAAACATTTATTAAATTCTTAATTTTGACTGCAAAGAAAAACAACCAGGAATATGTACAAATATAGAGTTTACAAAACAGATATAGAAGGAGTAACAAATGATAACTTTATGTAATATTGATATATTATAATACATGATTTTGTCACTGATTGAGAAATATGAGCAATCTAGTACATTGAAAAATATTTGAATAAATTCATTGAAAGTTTTGAATTAGTAATACACCGATATATCCTAATTCTTAAAAGAAAGATGTTACATTTTCTTTAGACAACCAAATTATCAAATATAATTTTCCAAAAATTAATGAAAAATTCAGAAAAATAAATAATTTATACAATCAGATCTTTGGAATAAAACAATCAATATAAGAAGTTTTATGTCAGTTTAAGTAAAACATTTACCTTTAAAATGAAACTGTACTTTATAAAAGAACCATAAATAGCACAGAGAAATTTCATAATGCAATCACAGAATGTATAGGTACAACGTTTTAAGAAAAGATTTTATCTCTTCTTGACCTAAGCTAATGGAATGTCACATACATCAAGTGATAGGCAAAGAAGCTGCTGGCTGAGGCTCCCTGCCATGTCGCAGAAAGGTGAAGCTTTAACACGGTTTGCAGAAACAAAACTAGCAGGTAGTAGTGCACACAGATTTTTAAATTGGTAAATTCACATCATTTCTGGTTCAAAGCACTCCACAATGAGAGTCTGAATATTGCTCTAATGCTGAGAACATGTTAACCTTGCAAGATACACAGATTATTAGTTATAAATTATAAAGTGAATAAAGAAAACAGCATAGATTATACAAGACTTTACAGACATATGAAATATATAAAGACATTCATAGCCACTGTCTAGAAGAACATTCACAGAACTGTCAACAAGGAATGCAGTGTTTTCCTTTTCTCTGGTGATTTTCATTTTCCAAATTGTTTTCAATGTTAAGACATATCACTTTCTTATAACTTAATTATACTTTATTTTGAGCACAACTGGGATGAAGGAAGAGAGAAATGAAAGAATGGGAAAATATGTATATATGTATACACAGCATAGCTAATATAGTTATAATACTGACTTTTATTGCTCTATTGAAAGGAACAGTGTTTAAGTGTATGATCAATCTTACATGTCTATATTTGTTTACCTGAGTATTCAATTTGAAGATATCAATATGTAATACAATAACCATTGTTAATATCCTATCACTTTGTCTGAGATCCTGTATCGCCTGTATTGCTTTTGTATTATTTTCTAAATGTGTGTGTATTTGTTAAGATGATTTTGTTCTTTTATCTTTAAAATTAAAAAATTATAAATAAAAAAATTTAATCTTTAAAAATTTATCTTTTATCTTTAAAATAAAAAAATTGATTTATAAACATAACAGCTTTTTAGGTGTCATGTTTATAAATTAACAAAAACCATGAAGGATTATTATTCAAAAATATGTATTATGTATTAAATATTCTAGGGATGTAAGGTATGTGATAACAGCCAGGATTCATGGCTGTCACCATAAAAGTTTTACATCCATCTTCTGACCCAACGTGGAATTATTGTATATCTTGTGCAGTGGGCAACACTGACCCTTAGAATTTCAGTGAATTAATGTGTGTTGTATGGTAGAAAGGTGGAAAATCAAGACTCTAAATTCTGAAATCTTGATTTTAAGGCCATTTCTCAAATCATTGCTACAATTGATATCTCTTATAAGCAGAAATACTTGTGAAAATATACAATATTTTAATATTAAAATCATCTGAAATCAGAGTATGTGTGAATATTGTATGATGTAGATTTCAATGCAGCAAACATTTTGTCTTGTTTTGCACACTGCTCTTGAAGTCACGTGCATTTCCTCACAGATTGAATGCTTACTTGATGATTGCCAGAGGCAATATACGTGTCTAAAAACATGTGCCTGGAAATGTCCAATATTATGTTTGCAAAGTAAAAGACAGCTGGAGAGCAAAACTACAAAAACAACAAAACATTTTTTTTCAAAAGCAAACCTAAGAAGTTCCTATTTTTTAAAAAAGGGAAAAGACAAATGTAAATACTTAATGCCACTGCTGTTTTAATTGCCTGCAGCCCCTTCTCTTCTGCAGGAGTCTAAGGACAGCATGTTTCACCTCTTTGTTTCTGAGGCTGTAGATGAGAGGGTTCAGCATGGGGATCACGATCGTGTAAAACACAGAGGCCACCTGATCCTTTCCCAAGGAGTAGGACTGCTTCGGTTTTAAGTAAGTAAAGGTCATGGTGCTGTAAAAGATGGTGACTCCCAGGAGGTGAGAGGCGCAGGTCGAGAAGGCTTTTTTCTTCCCTGCAGTGGAATTGATGTTCAGGATAGTGGAGAGAATGGACACGTAGGATCCAGATATGGTGATGAGAGATGCTACTAGGGTGGACCCAGCAAAAGTGAATATAATGATTTCATCCTCATAGGTGTCGCTGCAGGACAGGGCTAAAATTGGGGTTGTGTCACAGAAAAAGTGCTGGATGACATTAGAGTTGCAGAAATGCAATCTGCTCATGCAAACTACATTCACAGTAGATTCCATAAAACAAATTGTATAGGAACCATAGAGCAGGCTATGGCATAGTTTTGGGGACATAATGACTGGATAGAGTAGAGGGCTGCAGATGGCTACGTAGCGATCATAGGCCATGCAGGACAGAAGAAAGCATTCAGTGCCTCCCAAGAGGACAAAAAAGAACATCTGGGTGAAGCAGCCGAGGAACGAGATGCTCTTGGAGGAAGCCAGTAAG